GAAGTTGCTGATCAGCTTAAGGAGATTTTGGGCTGAGACAATGGGGTTTTCTAAATATACAATCATGTCGTCTGCAAACAGGGACAATTTGACTTCTTCTTTTCCTAACTGAATCCCCTTGATTTCCTTCTCTTGCCTGATTGCCCTAGCCAGAACTTCCAACACTATGTTGAATAGGAGTGGTGAGAGAGGGCAACCCTGTCTTGTGCCAGTTTTCAAAGGGAATTTTTCCAGTTTTTGCCCATTCAGTATGATATTGGCTGTGGGTTTGTCATAAATAGCTCTTATTATTTTGAGGTACGTTCCATCAATACCGAATTTATTGAGCGTTTTTAGCATGAAGGGCTGTTGAATTTTGTCAAAAGCCTTTTCTGCATCTATTGAGATAATCATGTGATTCTTGTCTTTGGTTCTGTTTATATGCTGGATTATGTTTATTGATTTGCGAATGTTGAACCAGCCTTGCATCCCAGGGATGAAGCCCACTTGATCATGGTGGATAAGCTTTTTGATGTGCTGTTGAATCCAGTTTGCCAGTATTTTATTGGGGATTTTTGCATCGATGTTCATCAGGGATATTGGTCTAAAATTCTCTTTTTTTGTTGTGTCTCTGCCAGGCTTTGGTATCAGGATGATGTTGGCCTCATAAAATGAGTTAGGGAGGATTCCCTCTTTTTCTATTGATTGGAATAGTTTCAGAAGGAATGGTACCAGCTCCTCCTTGTACCTCTGGTAGAATTCAGCTGTGAATCCATCTGGTCCTGGACTCTTTTTGGTTGGTAGGCTATTAATTATTGCCTCAATTTCAGAGCCTGCTATTGGTCTATTCAGGGATTCAACTTCTTCCTGGTTTAGTCTTGGAAGAATGTAAGTGTCCAGGAAATTATCCATTTCTTCTAGATTTTCTAGTTTATTTGCGTAGAGGTGTTTATAGTATTCTCTGATGGTAGTTTGTATTTCTGTTGGGTCGGTGGTGATATCCCCTTTATCATTTTTAATTGTGTCTATTTGATTCTTCTCTCTTTTCTTCTTTATTAGTCTTGCTAGTGGTCTGTCAATTTTGTTGATCTTTTCAAAAAACCAACTCCTGGATTCATTGATTTTTTGGAGGGTTTTTTGTGTCTCTATCTCCTTCAGTTCTGCTCTGATCTTAGTTATTTCTTGCCTTCTGCTAGCTTTTGGATGCGTTTGCTCTTGCTTCTCTAGTTCTTTTAATTGTGATGTTAGAGTGTCAATTTTAGATCTTTCCTGCTTTCTCTTGTGGGCATTTAGTGCGATAAATTTCCCTCTACACACTGCTTTAAATGTGTCCCAGAGATTCTGATATGTTGTATCTTTGTTTCATTGGTTTCAAAGAACATCTTTATTTCTGCCTTCATTTCGTTATGTACCCGGTAGTCATTCAGGAGCAGGTTGTTCAGTTTCCATGTAGTTGAACGGTTTTGATTGAGTTTCTTAGTTTTGAGTTCTAGTTTGATTGCACTGTGGTCTGAGAGACAGTTTGTTACAATTTCTATTCTTGTACATTTACTGAGGAGTGCTTTACTTCCAATTATGTGGTCAATTTTGGAATAAGTGCGATGTGGTGCTGAGAAGAATGTATATTCTGTTGATTTGGGGTGGAGAGTTCTATAGATGTCTATTAGGTCTGCTTGCTGCAGAGATGAGTTCAATTCCTGGATATCCTTGTTAACTTTCTGTCTCGTTGGTCTGTCTAATGTTGACAGTTGGGTGTTGAAGTCTCCCATTATTATTGTATGGGAGTCTAAGTCTCTTTGTAAGTCTCTAAGGACTTGCTTTATGAATCTGGGTGCTCCTGTATTGGGTGCATATATATTTAGGATAGTTAGCTCTTCCTGTTGAATTGACCCCTTTACCATTATGTAATGGCCTTCTTTGTCTCTTTTAATCTTTGATGGTTTAAAGTCTGTTTTATCAGAGACTAGTATTGCAACCCCTGCTTTTTTTTGTTCTCATTTGCTTGGTAAATCTTCCTCCATCCCTTTATTTTGAGCCTATGTATGTCTCTGCCAGGTTGTTCAGTTTCCAAGTGGGAGTTGAACGTATTTGATTGAGTTTCTTAGTTTTGAGTTCAGTTTGATTGCACTGTGGTCTGAGAGGTTTGTTACAATTCTATTCTGTACATTTACTGAGGAGGCTTACTTCCAATTGAGGGTCAATTTTGGAATATGCGATGTGGTGCTGAGAAGAATGTAGTGACTTGTTGATTTGGGGTGGAGAGCTCAGATGTTCTATTAGGCCCGTTGCTGCAGAGATGAGTTCAATCTGGAGACTTTGAGCACTTCTGTCTGTGTTATCTGTCTAATGTTGACAGTTGGGTGTTGTAGTCTCCCACATGTTGTATGGGAGTCTAAGTCTCTTTTTGTAAGTCTCTAAGGACTTAAGTGAATCTGGCATCTTATTAAAAAGTATATATATTTAGGATAGTACTCTTCCTGTTGAATTGACCCCTTTACCATTATAGCTTCATTTTCTTTTGTCTCTTTAATCTTTGATGGCTTAAAGTCTGTTTATCAGAGACTATATTGCAAACCCTGCTTTTTTTTGTTCTCATTTGCTTAAATCTTCTCCTCATCCCTTTATTTTGAGCCTATGTATGCCCTGCATGTAGATGGGCTCTGTAACAGCAGACTGATGGGTCTTGACTTCTTATCCAGTTTGCCAGTCTGTGTCTTTTTTTAATTGGAGCATTTAGTCCATTTATATTTAAGATAAATATTGTTATGTGAACCTTTGATCCGTGCCATTATGATATTAACTGGTTATTTTCTTGTTAGTTGATGCAGTTTTCCTAGCCTAAATGACTCTGATTTTGCATGTTTTTTGTAATGGTTATACTTTGGCTGTTCCTTTCATGTTTAGTGCTTCCTTCAGGGTCTCTTGTAAGGCAGGCTTCAGGGTGATAAAATCTCTGGGCATTTGCTATCTGTAAAGGATTTGTATTTCCTTCATCATGAAACTTTAGTTTGGCTTGATATGAAATCATGGTTGAAAATTTTCTTTAAGAATGTTAACATTGCGCTCCTACCTCTTCTGCCTAGAGTTTCTGCCGAGAGATCTGCTGTTAGTCTGATGGGCTTCCCTTTGTGGGTAACCTGACCTTTTTCTCTGGCTGCCCTTAAGATTTTTTCCTTCATTTCAACTTTGGTGTATCTGGCATTTATGTGTCTTGGAGTTGCTCTTCTTCAGGAGTATCTTTGTGGCGTTCTCTGTATTTCCTGAATTTGAATGTTTGCCTTCCCTACTAGGTTGGGGAAGTTCTCCTGGATGATATCCTGCAGAGTGTTTTCCAACTTGGTTCCAATTTCCCCCTCACTTTCAGGCACCCCAATCAGACGTAGATTTGGTCTTTTTACATAATCCCATACTTCTTGCAGTCTTTGTTCATTTCTTTTTCTTCTTTTTTCTTTAGGTTTCTCTTCTCGCTTCATTTCTTTCATTTGATCCTCTATCGCTGATACTCTTTCTTCCAGTTGATCGAGTCAGTTACTGAAGCTTGTGCATTTGTCACTTATTTCTTGTGTCATGGTTTTCATCTCTGTCCATTCGTTTATGGCCTTCTCTGCATTAATTATTCTAGTTATCAATTCTTCCACTTTTTTTTTTTCAAGATTTTTAGTTTCTTTGTGGTGGGTATGTAATTCCTCCTTTAGCTCTGAGAATTTTGATGGACTGAAGCCTTCTTCTCTCATCTCGTCAAAGTCATTCTCCGTCTAGCTTTGATCTGTTGCTGGCGATGAGCTGCATTTCTTTGCAGGGGGCGATGCACTCTTAGTTTTTGAGTTTCCAGCTTTTCTGCCCTGCTTTTTCCCCATATTTGTGGTTTTATCTGCCTCTGGTCTTTGATGATGGTGATGTACTGATGGGGCTTTGGTGTGGGTGTCCTTCTTGTTTGATAGTTTTCCTTCTAACAGGACCCTCAGCTGTAGGTCTGTTGGAGATTGCTTTAGGTCCACTCCAGACCCTGTTTGCCTGGGTGTCAGTAGCAGAGGCTGCAGAAGATAGAATATTGCTGAACAGCGAGTGTACCTGTCTGGTTCTTGCTATGGAAACTTCCTCTCAGGGGTGTACTGCACAGTGTGAGGTATAGGGTGTTGGTCTGCCCCTAGTGGGGGATGTCTCCCAGTTAGGCTACTCAGGGGTCAGGGACCCACTTGAGCAGGTAGTCTGTCCGTTCTCAGATCTCAGCCTCTGTGTTGGGAGATCCACTGCTCTCTTCAAAGCTGTCAGACAGAATCGTTTATGTCTGCAGAGGTTTCAGCTGCTTTTTGTTTTTATTGTTGTTGTTTAGCTGTGCCCTGTCCCCAGAGGTGGAGTCTACAGAGAGAGGTAGGACTCCTTGAGCTGCTGTGAGCTCCACCCAGTTCGAGCTTCCTAGCAGCTTTGTTTATCTACTTAAGCCTCAGCAATGGCGGGCGCGCCTCCCCCAGCCTTGCTGCTGCCTTGTGGTTAGATGGCAGACTGCTGTGCTAGCAATGAGGGAGGCTCCGTGGGCGTGGGACCCTCCTGGCCAGGTGTGGGATATAGTCTCCTGGTGTGCCCGTTTGCTAAGATCCTTGGTAGAGCGCAGTATTGGGGTGGGAGTTACCCGATTTTCCAGGTGTTGTGTGTCTCAGTTCCCCTGGCTAGGAAAAGGGATTCCCTTCCCCCTTGCGCTTCCTAGGTGAGGCGATGCCTCCCCCTGCTTCAGCGTTCGCTGGTCCAGCTGCAGCAGCTTACCAGCTTGATTGTCAGGCACTCCCTAGTGAGATAAACCCAGTACCTCAGTTGAAAATGCAGAAATCACCTCTCTTCTGTGTCACTCACGCTGGGAGTTGGAGACTGGAGCTGTTCCTATTCAGCCATCTTGCTCCGCCCCCCTATGCCTTCTTTTGAAAGAGCATCTAAGGAAAAGAGGTCAATCTCCTTTTGATTAATAACAACAAATCCTTTATCTGAATCACCACAGACTTTCCTTTTCAGTTCTTTTTTTTTTTTAACTCTATCTTCAATGAATTTTCTTTAAGCTTTCTTGAGTTTTTCTCTCTCTTCTGCACTTTTGTAAAAAAAAGAGCCATAATTCACTTCTGTTTTTTCATACTCTAATGATACGTTACAGGTGAGGACGTATTCATCTTCCACCCTTTTCTTCATATGAGGATGCCGTGCTCCGTGGTCCAAAACAAGCCCTCTGATTAAGCTTGTATCAGTTTCAGATTTATGTTTCATCTCCATGATCTCAATCATGAAGAGATCAATAGGTTCATCTTATTTTTTAATGGGCAAAATGGAGTCCACTACAGCCTCTGTTAAGACATCTACAAGTTCAGCATGAACTTTAGTAGGAAGAGATGTTCTGGCCATATCTGTAAGTGCTTCCCTGTCCATCTCTCTGCTTACTTGACTTCTTCCAAAAACTGAAGGGCCTTTTCCTTTGCAGCTTCAAATTCTTCAGCGATTATTCAGGCATGAAGGCCTTCAGAAATGTAGAGATCCGCCTGTTTCAGTAGCTCTCCAATGATTAGCACATTGGAAGTCGTAGCATCACCAGTTATATCATCCTGGCCTGTTGCTACCTTTGCTATTAAGGAAGCTGTTGGATGTTGAACTTGCATTTCGTGAAGCAGCACATTGCCATCTTTAGTAAGTTCGATGTCTCCAGCGCCAGAAACGAGCATCTTCACGGTGCCCTTGGGTCCTAGGTTGGTCCTTAGCACGTCCTGCAGACCCCGCGCAGCACTGATGTTGACCGCCAACGCCGCCTGCGCTCGGGCCACCTTGGTCTTGGCGTTCAGGGTTTTCACCGCCACCATAGCTGCTCCAGCGGAGGAAAAGGAAACGATGCTGAGAGCCCATCGCTGGTGCGCAGATAGTCATATATTTTTTAAAGGAAAACTGTTTATGTGATTAATCACATTCATTGATTTGCATATGTTGAGCAATTTCTGCACCACAGAAATAAAACATTAATTTTTTTATATGCTTCAGAATTTCATTTGCTAGTATGTTGTTGAGGATTTTTGCATTTATGTTCATCATAGATGTCGGCCTGTAGGTTTTTTTTGTTTTGTTTTGTTTTGTTTTGTTTGTATTGGTGGGCTTCGGTGTCAGAATGATTCATGCTTCACAGAATGAGTTAACGAAGAGTCCCTCCTTCTTGACTTTTTGGAATAATTTAAGTAGTATGGGTATCAGATTTTCTTTGTACATCTGGCAGAATTTGGCTATGAATCCGTTTGGTGCAGGGCTTTTTTCTTGGTAGTTTTTAAATTACTGATTTAATTTTGGAATGCATTATTTGTCTTTTCAGGGTTTTGGTTTCTTTCTGGTTCAATCTTGGGAGATTGTGAGTTTCCAGGAATGTATTCATTTCTTCTAGGTTTTCTAGGTTGTGTGCAGAGAGGTGTTTGTAATAGTCTCTGCGGATTTTTTTGTGTTTCTGTGTGGTCACATGCAACATAATCTTCATCACTTCTACTTGTGCTTATTTGGATCCTCTCTCTCTTTTTTTTTTTTTTTTTTTTTTTGCTAATATATCCCCTAGTATTTTAGCCTTGTTGATTCTTCCAATGATTCACCTTTTGTGTGTTTTTTTTTTTTTTTTTTGGTTTTTGTATGGATTTTGCAATCTAGATTTTGTTCAGCTCTTCTTTAATTTTAGTTATTTCTTTTTAAATAGTAACTTTAGAGTCTCTCTTGCTTCTCTGTTCCACCAGGTGTAATGTTAGGGTATTAATTTGAGATTTTTCTAATTTCTTGATGTAGGTGTTCATCACTCCCCACTTTCCTCTTAACAGGTTTTCCCTGTGTCCCAAGATTCTGGTATGTATTGACTCTGATTTCACTAATTTCAAAAAGTTTTTTTGATTACTGCTTTACTTTCCATCTTAACCAAAAAGTCATTCAGGAGCATGTTGTTTAATTTCCATGTAATTATGTGGTTTTGAGAGATTGTCTTGGTATTGATTTTTATTTTTATTGCACTGTGGTCTATGAGTATAGTTGTTATTATACATTTTTAAAAATTAGTTTAGATGTGTTTTATGGTGGAGCATGTGATTGAGCTTAGAATATATGCTATATACAGATGAGAAAAATGTATATTTGACTGTTGGTTGGAGTATTCTGTAGATATCTATTAGGTCCAATTGATCAAGTATCAAGATTTAGTCCAGAATACCTTGGTTAGTTTTTTGCTTTGATTATCTGTTTAACTTGTCAATGGAATGTTGAAGTCTCTCACTTTTACTGTGTGGTTGTTTCTGTATGTTTTTGCGGCTGTAGGTACTCGTCTTTCATTTCCATATTTAGCACTCACTTAAGGACCCCTTGCAAGGCAGGTCTGATATTAACAAATTTTGTTAGCATTTGCTTGTCTGAAAAAGATTTTATTTCTCTTTCATTTATGAAGTTAGTTTGGCAGAATATGACATGCATGGTTGGAATTTCTTTTGTATAGGGATGCTGATTATAGGTCTCCACTCTCTTCTGGCTTATAAGGCTTCTGCTGAAAGTTCTGCTGTTAGCCTTAATGAGTTCCCTTTGTAGGTGACATGCTCCCTCTCTCTAGCTGCCGTTAAAATTTTTTCTTTCACATTGACTTTGAAGAATCTGATGACTCTGTGCTTTTGGCATGGTTGTCTCATGTAGTGTCTTGCAGGAGTTCTCCACATTTCCTATATTTGCATGCTGATCTCTCTAGCAACACTGGGGATATTTTTATGCACAGTATACTCCAATATTTCTTCCACATTGCTTGCTCTCTCTATCTCTTTCAGGAATGCCATTGAGTCTGAGGTTCTGTCTTTTTACAGAATCCTGCATTTTTTGGAGCTTTTGTTCATTTTTTTCTCTATTATTTACCATTGTTCTCCTATGTTGAATCAAAGGAGAAGTTTCTGAGTGCCGATATTTTTTCCTCAGGTTGGTCTGTTCTGTTATTTTATTATTTTATTTTATTATTTTATTTTTTTTTATTATTATACTTTGAGTTCTAGGGTACATGTGCATAACGTGCAGGTTTGTTACATATGTATACTTGTGCCATGTTGGTGTTTTGTTATTAATGCTTCCAATTGCACTTTGAATTTCCTGTAGTGAATTTTTGATTTTCAGATCAGTTTGTATTTTTCTTAAAATGGCAGCTATCTATCAACTCTTGAACTATTTTACTGTGTCCCTTTTATGTTTTTCAACCTTCTCTTGTATGTTGATGAACTTCCTTGCCATCCGGATTCTAATTTCTACGTGTGTAATTTCAGCCATTACAGTTTGATTAAGAACCATTGGTGCCGTTGTTTGGAGGTAAGAAGACACTGTAACTTCTAATGTTGCCAGAGTTCTTGCACTATTTCTTTCTTTCTTTTTTTTTTTCATCTGTGTGGACTAATGTTCCTTTAGTCTTTGAAGTTGCTCCCTTTTGGATGAGGCTTTTGCTTTTCTTTTTCTTTGATATTCTTGAAGGTTTGACTGGTATAAGTTAGGTTTAGTTGATTGGCATCATTTTCAGATGCTTTCAGGGGCTAAGGCTCAGCTCAGCACTCCTGGGCTACATGCTCTAGCCCTAGTGAACTGGGACCTAGTCCATAGCTTTATTCTCTTGCCCCTTGGGGGTTAAATATCTGTTGCCCTGGAGGGGCCAATGTGTTCCCAGCCCATTGGCAACAACACTGACAGACACTGCTAGCAAAGGTACTCCAGTGGGCTGACGGTCATCCCCCACATGGGTGCACATCAGTGGAGCAGCAGGGGTCCCAAAGCTTGCTCATGCCAGCAGGGTGGTGTTTTTTCCATACGCATGTGCATGCTGGCAGGGTGATGAGGGGAGGCTGTGGGCAAGCATACACCCACAAGGGAAAGCTGTGGGTGGTCATGTGCTGCTGGAAGTCTGTCTGCAAAAGCACTCCAACAGTTAAGCAGGGCTTGCCACTGAGGGATCGATGGCAGTGGATGCTGGTAAACAGTGGAGGCTGCACTGCAAGTGGGTGTAGCTAGGCAGGACCCTGGCAGAGGCTGGCAGATAAGGGGGAGCTCAGATCAGACTGGCCCTGTCCCACAGGCAACACAGCCATGTTCTTTTCAGTTCCAACAAAGGCTAGAGCAGCCTGGAGGAATATGGCAATCTTTGGGGAGTTGGCAGCCATGACTGTGCTCCATTGCAGTCATTTCTACACAAAACCCCTGGACTCCATACAGGCTGGAGTTCTGTGTCTGCTAACTCTCCAGGCAGTTCTCTTTGCTAGTTCAGATGTTCATGGGGTTGTGTGTTAAATGACTTTTTCCTATATTTATCTGTGTGTTGTATAAACTCATACACAGTGACCTTGCATTACATTTTAAATGTTGAAATATATCATACACAGCATATATAAGTAATAATATATTCAGTTAAGATGTTGATTATTATAAAGGAAAGTGAAAATATCAACATCTAAGGTTAACTTAGAATCTGTCCAAGGGTCCATGAAGTCAAAATTATTTTACAATAATGCTAAGATATAATTGACACTTTTCATTATGTTGACATTTGTAGTCATGTTTCAAAAGCAATGTTATCCAAAGTGGCTGCACATTAGCATGAACAAGACAGTAACACTAAATTGCACTGCTAGTCATTGTATTCTTTACTGCTACACACACTTAGTAAAGAATAAATAAAAAGTTAAATTTTTAAAAAAATTTATTTATTATTATTATACTTTAAGTTGTAGGGTACATGTGCATAACGTGCAGGTTTGTTACATATGTATACTTGTGCCATGTTGGTGTGCTGCACCCATCAACTCGTCATTTACATCAGGTATAACTCCCAGTGCAATCCCTCCCCCCTCCCCCCTCCCCATGATAGGCCCCGGTGTGTGATGTTCCCCTTCCCGAGTCCAAGTGATCTCATTGTTCAGTTCCCACCTATGAGTGAGAACATGCGGTGTTTGGTTTTCTGTTCTTGTGATAGTTTGTTAAGAATGATGGTTTCCGGCTGCATCCATGTCCCTACAAAGGACACAAACTCATCCTTTTTTATGGCTGCATAGTATTCCATGGTGTATATGTGCCACATTTTCTTAATCCAATCTGTCACTGATGGACATTTGGGTTGATTCCAAGTCTTTGCTATTGTGAATAGTGCTGCAATAAACATACGTGTGCATGTGTCTTTATAGCAGCATAATTTATAATCCTTTGGGTATATACCCAGTAATGGGATGGCTGGGTCATATGGTACATCTAGTTCTAGATCCTTGAGGAATCGCCATACTGTTTTCCATAATGGTTGAACTAGTTTACAATCCCACCAACAGTGTAAAAGTGTTCCTATTTCTCCACATCCTCTCCAGCACCTGTTGTTTCCTGACTTTTTCATGATCGCCATTCTACCTGGTGTGAGATGGTATCTCATTGTAGTTTTGATTTGCATTTCTCTGATGGCCAGTGATGATGAGCATTTTTTCATGTGTCTGTTGGCTGTATGAATGTCTTCTTCTGAGAAATGTCTGTTCATATCCTTTGCCCAATTTTTGATGGGGTTGTTTGTTTTTTTCTCATAAATTTGTTTGAGTTCTTTGTAGGTTCTGGATATTAGCCTTTTGTCAGATGAGTAGATTGCAAAAATTTTCTCCCATTCTGTAGGTTGCCTGTTCACTCTGATAGTAGTTTCTTTTGCTGTGCAGAAGCTCTTTAGTTTCATTAGATCTCATTTGTCAATTTTGGCTTTTGCTGCTGTTGCTTTTGGTGTTTTAGACATGAAGTCTTTGCCCATGCCTATGTCCTGAATGGTACTACCTGGGTTTTCCTCTAGAATTTTTATGGTATTAAG